GTTACACAACCATGTCAGAGACCTGCTACTTGCAGTAGGCGGTTGAAAAACTCTGACACCAGGGTTCATCGGGTCGTTGGACGACTTGGTGTTCCACACGAAGTAACACTTCACCTGCGACAGTTTGCGACAGCTATAGGCAACGGTCGCGCGACTGCTGGCGACAATCGGTGACCATTGGCAACCGTTATCAATAGCTGTCGCAAACCATCGCGAAATGTCGCGCGACAGTCGGTAGGTAGGTAGCTATCGGCGCCCGTCGCTGATATCTGTCCCAAGTTGTCGCAGGTAAAGTGTCGCTGGTCTGCGGGAGCCCTTAGTTGAGTTATCCTCGTTTATCTTAAGGGCAGGTTAGTCCAATCGATCTATTTTCAGTTGAGTTATATGGCATGAAAAGATCATTTTTCTGATCCAGAAAAAATATATGTTGTTGTTCATGAACTATTCTAGATTAATTAATGGTTCAAAACACGATATTCATTACTTTTCTCGATCATAAAAAATTCCAAAGATAGGTAATTTTAGCTTATTTTATGACATTTTTTCAGTTTTATATAAAGAATTATTACTGCTATGTTTAATAAAAGTATATCAAAAAATAGAAAATCACATGATCTAAATAATTTAATGGATAGTTTTTTTTAAATAATGTGCTATATTGACAAGATGAAGGAAAAAGGCGAAAAATGGCCAAAAGTGAGGTTATTAGCGTATCTATTCACACGTATCTAAAATGACAGAGACGGCGCACTGTGGACTAACCGGCCCTTAAAAACTACTAGACTGTCTTAACTTCTCTTCCACGGATGTCGTAAGACTAAATGTGATAATAATCAATTCTGGGCCCACCCCGAATTTACCGAATTCCGAAAACGGTATTGTATGAAATTCTTACTAAAACTAAAAATTATGATTGATTTTTTTATCACAATCTTGCAAATATCATCTTTATACGAAACAGGAATCAAAAGTTCAAAATTAAAAGTTATTTTTCTATGTTATTATGAAATTGGGCAAGCATTGTTATTTATAAGGCCATTGACGCTCTGCCTACACCATAAAGGCTGTAGGTGTGATTTTATGTGTTTAAATATCTATACTAAATTACTAATTCACATTAGAGCAAAATGCTATCAAAACAGTTATTTTTAGATTGGCTATGTACTTTTTAGGTTATGTTGTATTTTGTGTTATTTTATCAATTTCCCGTTGCATAATTTAAAAATTGTTATACCAGCATAATCTAGGTAGTACAAGGAATATGTTCTACGTTGGTTCTACCAGTTTCATGACCATACATTTTGATTTACGAGGCATTTGCGAGGGGCCTAAATGTGATAATCAATTTTGGGCCCACCCCGAATTTGTCGAATTGCGAAAACGGTATTGTATGAAATTCTTACTAAAACTAAAAATTATGATTGATTTTTTTATCATAATCTTGCAAATATCATCTTTATACGAAACGGAAATCGCAAATTCAAAATTAAAAGTAATTTTTCTATGTTATGAAATGTGGAAAGCATTGTTATTTTGCAGCAAAATGCTATCAAAACAGATTTTTAGGTTATGTTGTATTTTGCGTTATTTTATCAGTTTCCCGTTGCATAATTTAAAAGTCGTTATCCCAGCATAATCTAGGTAGTACAAGGAAGGAGTTTCATGACCATACAATTTGATATACGAGGCATTTGTGAGGGGCCTAAACTTGTATGGCCAATTGATTATATCCCTTCTATGGCCAATTGATTATATCCTTTGAATCTACAACCAAAGGACAAAAACTGTTTATGACTGAAGGATAGGAATAGAGATAGGTACGTATGACTGATTGTGGCTGAGTGCCGCTAGCGCTGCGCATGGACGGATGCGTCTGTCAAACCGTTTGACATTAACCGTATTTGTATGAGAATTAGGCACAAACAGTCGTTACGTGTGTTTCTCGCGTACACATTCGTAGATCTCAGGTACGTCATCCGTCTGAACAATTGAACCCGCTTAGGATAGTATTTAAATTCTGTTGCAAAAAAATGCTTGCGTTTTTAAACAAATCACCTCGCAGTCAACCCCTCTTAGTAACTTAACACTGTTAGCTTTTTTAAAAGGGGTCGGCAGTTAATTAATAGTACCTAATTAACTTTTAAGGCTTCGTTACATGTCTCGTGTTTTAATCTTTTATACACCACATTACATACATCAGGTATATCCTTTGATGGGTAGTCAGACCAATAGATAACGGACGTTACTGCCAGCCACGGGGTTTTTCAGAAAAATTGCAGAGAAAAATAAAATTAAAAGCTAAAAACCTTTTTAATCGATTTCAACTGGCGTCGTAAGAGGCCACTAAGGGACTGTGAGGGTAACCCCTCATTTCATGTACAATTAATTAGGTACTATTTTAGGCGACAGGCTGACACCCTGCCGCACGATATTTCAAAAGCCCTCAAATGTTTGTCAGATGTGGCGACAGCTACCTTTATATTTACGGTCATCAACGCTCTCCTTACCCGCAAGGGATAAAGGCGTGATTTATGTACTTATCTATGTATGTAAGTTAATAATCCACTTCACGTACGCTAAAGACAAAGTCAAGTTAAGCCACGAAAAAATTGTCGGATGAAGAGAAACTGGATATCTACACGGGTAGGCGATCCCCCGTAGCTCCCCATTTATTCCTTCTCAAGATTTGAATGAGGGCAAATTTGAAATTTAAATTCGAGCATTTGGCCAAATTGATGGCGGCTGAACGCGAGTGCTCTTTAGTGGGAGCAGTGGTGGGACAAGTGAGCTGCGTCAGCAATTTTAATGAGAACTTACTCAGTTTTGATCATCAGCTCGGTTGCTATGTGTTCTCAGCTGTTCTCTACGCAACGTAAGTTATCAAACAAAGTCATCTTTCATGGGATCCATCTTGATCCATTTGGCCAAATTGATGGCGGCTGAGCGCGAGTGCTCTTTAGTGGGAGCAGGGGTGGGACAAGTGAGCTGCGTCAGCAATTTTAAAAAGAACTTACTCAGTTTTAATCATCAGTTCCGCGCGCGCCGTTACTACGGTTACTATGTGTTCTTAGCTGTTCTCTACGCAACGCAAGTTATCAAACAAAGTCATCTTTTACAGCATCCATCTCGATCCATTTGGCCAAATTGATGGGGGCTGAACGTCAGTCGTCACTTGACAAGTAGAGAACTGTCAGATAAAAAAATCCTCATTGGCTCGAGCATATTCAGCGCATCACTATTCTAAAGTCCCCTTTCCATGTGATAAATATAAGATCCTGTCGCGGTAGACCCGGTTCAATACTTAAAATGAAGGGTACAATGAAGAAATCATGGGTTGTTCGTTTTAAACTTGAAATAAAGTATATTAGCTTTTATTGATATTTGACATTATCCAGTTCATGTCAGTGTCACGCCATGAAAGAAACAGAGCATAGACAGGGGAATTGAATCATCTTATTGCCTCGTGCAGATTCAGCGCATTAGTATTCTATAGCCCCTTTTCCACGTGTTATTAAATACAGCTAAGGGTACAGCAATCATGGCTTGTTCTTTTTAAACTTGGAATTTTATATTGGCCTTCAGTTCACGTCATGTCAGTGTCACGCCATGAAAGAGACAGAGCATAGACAGGGAAATTGAATCAACTCATTGACTCGTGCAGTTTCAGCGCATCACTATTCTAAAGTCCCCTTTCCACGTGATATAGATACTGCTATTAAGGCGATTGCTATTTTGGATTATTCTCGTTATCTCTATTTGAATAACGCGCGAGTTTGTTTCGTCTTATCGTTTTCTAATTGGACGATTCGTTTTAGATCGTTACATTTAATTTGCGGATTGCTGATTCGATTTATGATTAAAAATTTAATATTGAATGTAATTTAATAATACAAAAACGTGGTGTTTAGAAATGAATAATGTAAATACTTTTCACGAAATTGGGTCTTCTAATAATAATTGTACTTATTATTATAATTTTAGGAATTAATCGGAATTCTATCTTGATTTACCAAAGAAAACAAAAATTTAATTCGTCTCTTTAGATAGAATCAGATTTCTTTTTACATTGATGTTTTTTCATTAATTTCTTTTCAGTTATATCAAAGAAGCTAAAAAGTCTTAGCTATTTTATTTAAGGAGGAAGGTATTAAATGCAATACAGGCAGTCAATAGCGTCGATTCGATAACATTTGTTACATATAACTAGCGTTTACTTTTCAGGCTTTCAATTTTATACACAACAGACGCATCTGCAAGCACCGCTCAACGCACAACGCTGCGTCGACAGATGCGTCTGTCAAATCTTTTGACATAAACTGTATTTGTATGGGTATACTTGTGTTTCTAGTCAAAGACTTTAGGGTTATTTTTAGTCAGTGCGTAAACTTTGCAGGGTGTTTCTACTCGTGATTATGATCAATATTTACTATAAGACCACCAGCGAAATCGCAAAAATAAATTGGGTGTTCCATAGAAAAAATAATTTAAATTAATTTAAATTAACCTACTCGGCAAAAATGTATGGAACACCCAAAATTTTTTTTTTTTATTTCTCAGGCGGCCTCATAGTAAAAGTTGTTCAAAATCCCGAGTAGAACTAAACATCCTGCAAAGTTTGCGCACTGACTAAAAAATAACCCTGTATTGGCGGCGATTCGAGTGTCTAACTAACCGGACGCGAGCTTGGCTGCACACAGTAGATACAGAGTTAGTTTAAAGCAAGGTATTCCCCAAGGACCGTAGCCCACCTACTTAGTAAGCGAGCTTGCTTGTAATTAGCATCAGGTGCTAGGCTCTGCAGATTTATAGACCCAAGAGAGACCTAAGATACCTGCGACTAGGCTGAGAGCATACTGCAATAAAAAATTATACAATAGCATGTAAGCTCGGATTTAATTTTATTTAGTTGTATCTGAGCATTGTTTGTTTAGTACATAATAATAATGGGTAACTGTAAATGGTGAAATAAGTCTTTAATTAATAAACGATTCTCGATTAGAACCGCGGTAGCCCAGTTGGTTAGGGCGTCGGCAAAACTGATGCCGCAGGTTCAAATCCTGCCTGCGGTGAAAAATTTTGGAAGTTTTCCAAAAATTGTTTACCTAACACGAGAAGTGTTTTAAAATTTGGTATTCAATAAATCGTAATAGTATGAAATTAAGGCGTAACAAGCAGATGTATTAAAAAACAAAATCCGACTGCGGTCATTTTAAAGTTGTATTTTGCGATAAAAATCCGCCATATTAAATTTATGAATTTTTAATATAGCTAGTGTCACTCGCGCTGCTAAGACGAATCTAACGACACCTCATTTGTCAAAATCCAAATATCCGTTTGGGCTGTAGCCCGTGAAAAAGACTTTTCTTGTCCACATACATACATATAATTATCATACATACTCTCAAAAAACATAACCCTCCTTCTGAGGCAGTCGGCTGAAAACGCATTTTTCTAACGCATGTGATAACACACTGCGTAATAATAACGGAGTTACGTGTATTTCTCGGCCAAGGTACAGTCGACTAGCACTAGGAGCTCTCAGGTTCACCTGTGAAACTAATTAAACTAGTGCGACACCTCTTCGATTCTGACAGCTTATTTCCATAAGCTAAGAATATTGCCACCCCTAGTCCACTCAGGGTGTTTCGTAAAGGGCGACGTAGAGTTTTGACCTCGGCTGAACATTTAGGCAGGCGGCCGGTCTGAAAACATTCTCAAATCCTTTTGCTACAAGATTTTGTGATTTGCCTACCGATTTGGGATAAGGACAGGCAGATGATGATTCTCTTTGGCTATATAATGCCGGCGTAGAACAGCATAACCTATTATGTTTCCCGTGGGTGTCGTTAGAGGCGACTACGGGACCGGAGGGTTTCATTGCATCACATCTTCAGACTATGAGCTAACACCTTGTCACTTAAAAGTGATCCGTTGTTAGGGTTTTCTGTTACTAAACATTCGTCAAAAAGCCTGTCTGTCTGTCTGTATGCCCCAACCTCATACATAACTTTGTCAGTTTGGGACTGATGGTCATCAAGTTTGATGTGAAGATAGATCGTATTAATCCAATTTCAGAAATGTTGGCAAAAAAATAAGGTTTTATCGACCCCCTTCCATACATAAAGCAAGGAAACAAGAAAATTAATGCAAGGAACAAAAAGTGATTTACTTAGCATTTAGCTTATTGAACCAATTAGGTAGTTAAGAAATTGTCTTTTCCGAATTGACGCCAGTGCACGTTATTTACTTAACTGAACAATGTCCTTAGTCCTTAGTGCAGGTGGCTAATTAGAATTAGAAATCGGCTATTTACAGTTTTTGTTACACCTGTAGCTTAGACAAATAAATCCCACCAAAAACATTTACTTGTAAAAAGAACCAAGTCTCGCCTCTCAGTTCATCTACTGTAAAAAGTTGTGAGATCCATGTGATGCCAAGTCGGTTATTGATTTATTCAAGGACGACTTCAGGGAATTTTCATCTTAAGCTATTGCGTAATTAGGTAACAGACATCATCTTACAGTAACTATATCGACATTTAAAAACTTTTATATTTACAATAACTAGACCCGGCCATCGCACTAGACCATCGTATCTCACAAGCAAATAGTGTGCGATTGCCAAGTCATTCTAGTTATTGTAAATATAAAAGTTTTTAAATATCGATAAAGTTACTGTACGATGATGTTTGTTACCTAATTACGCAATAGCTTAAGATGAAAGTTCCCTGAAGCAGTCCTTGAATAAATCAATAACCGACTTGGCATCACATGGATCTCACAACTTTTTACAGTAGATGAACTGAGAGGCGAGACTTGGTTCTTTTTACAAGTAAATTTTTTGGTGGGATCTCATTTCTTTTTGTAGATAGTCTTCCTCTTTCTCTTATCTGGAACTACTTCTTAAGCCTCAGCTACAGATTTCCTCAAAGCCCATCCGCAAAGTTAACTTTGTAATCCTATACATTTGTATGGAAATACAAAGTTAGTTATGCGGTTGCAACCGAATTTACAAAATGTTATAGTTTTCCCTTTATTCATACACTAAATACAAGGTGTATTCTAAGTTTCAAGCTCCTCAGTCTGCTAGAAGTACCTTAGAATTTTGATGATCGGTTAGTCAGTCAGTCAGTCAGTCAGGCAGAAAATTAAGAAACTTTGACTAACTATAACTTTTAAACTACTGGTCCAAATTAAATGAAATTTGAAATGTATCGTGTCTATACAGTACTTGATAAGATATTTTAAAATGAGGGTTCTAAACTTATCGACAAGGGAGTTATAGGGGGGTCAAAAATGGCCTGAACTTGTTCGAGAAAAGGATGGTACGGCCGTGCCGCTTTCAGCTCGACTTGGTGGCCAAGTGCGAGTCGGACTCGCGCATCAAGAGTGCCCTACCATTGTGTATAAAAATGGCATAAAATCAGGTTTATTAAATTACGAAACGGACAAGGATAACTCATTCTTTATGTTATAAAACGACTTACCTTATTTGTTGTATGAGACCCCTTCCATTATTATTTTGTTATATTTTTTAGGCCATTTCTCAAAAAATTGGCCGCACAACCTGTGCATCAGTTTACGTTAGATATTTTTTATATTTATGCACCCAGCTGATAACTTTTGCCATATTCGTTTTTAAACACAGTTCTTGCACAAAGGCCATGAGTTTAAAATATCACTCGAGGTATATTATATACTTTTAAACTGATTTTTACGTATATTTGGTCGCTAACCTGCGTGTCTTTTCACGATGTGCTTAAGTTTAAGCATTAAAAAAATATATTAATGCGCAATAATAAAATATTCTACCAAATGTTTATATTTACGTATATCCATAGGAGAAGAATCACACAATATAATAACCTAATATTCATTATTCATAACATAAAATACAATTTAAAGTTTTGTACGAACTTTTTTGTCGTTAATCTGCAAATGTGAAAACACGATTGTACCGCGGGTACCACTTCACCTCTCCCGCCTCATTCTGCAACATCCGGACCAGCCATTCACTAGCAAACATCTGCTGAGAGAAGGCCTTGTCAGTTGTTCAGTTTCCGGAGAAAAGGCAAGCTATATATTGGATTCTGGAGTTTGTAACGGGTAAGTAGTCGTTTTTATGCCTCTTTTATGTAAAAAACTATGCTACCCGTTGCACTCATTTCAAGTTATAATGTGTAAACTAGTGTTTGCTTTAATGTGTCTAAGTGAGCAATCCTTGTACAAAATGGTTTTCCTGTGATGACGAAATAACTGCTATTAAGTCGTTAACCTGCCGGTCGTTCACCTGTCTCAAAAATGCAAGTGAACGACCAAATAGCAGGTTAGCGACAATTATCATACAAATGTGTAATTAATAATATAAAGTAAATGATCTAATTCATTGTTTAATATTTTACTAATTTGATAAAAGTAGTCCTAAATTTATTAAACAATAATTTTAGCAAGATTTTTCTAAAAAAACATTGAATTGTTCATAGAGATACTTTATTATACTTATTAAAAGTTTGATTTAGTTGAAGTGCAAAAATGTTCATATGTGTGCTGTACGAATTTAAGTTACTAAATAATTAGGTATTTTGTGCTTTTATTGCTGAGAAATTACAGTCCGTACCCGTAGTCGTTAACCTGCTGAGGTTACTTAGTAAATTTGTACTAAAACGTCGTTAACCTGCGCCTATTGTCCTTAACCTGGCGACATTGTCGTTCACCTGCCCCGCTCGTAATTTAGATTCCCCATATTTCCTAAAGTAATGAAAAAAATTGCTTCCCTCCACTAAATATGTAATAAGGAACCATTAATCTAGCTAGCAAGATATTTTTTTTCGCGAAAACACGAACTTTTTAAAAACACGCAAAAATGAAATCTTGCGGCCAATTTTTTGAGAACTGTCCTTTAGTACATTCGTGGTCATGGCGTCAATAGCATAATGTTCTGTGAAAATTTCACACGGGGCGTTTAGCCGAAATACGTTTTTTTTCCCAGTTTAGTTGCTCTGCTATCTCTATTTGTCTCGTACGGCAATAATTATTTTCAAACACAAAATAGTGCCAAAGCCAAACGCAGACCGTGGCGGTTCTCTCACAAAAGACTTTTGTTAGCAAACGAAACTAAAACTTGTGTCAAACAGAAAACGAGGTGTGGTCAAAGATTATTTTCTAAAACGCTTATGGTACCTTTATTTTCCAAGCGTCACGGCGTCGCGGCGGCATCGTTGTCGCTGTCAAATGACTGGTTTGTATGGGAATACCAGAAAGACCGGGCGTCAGCGTCAACGACGCCGCCGCGTCGCCGTCACGTTGACAGCGCGCTGAGAAGCTCAGGGTTTGTATGGGATGCGGTCGGGTTTTTCGGGTCGTTGACGCGCGTCGTTGTCGCGACGCTTGGTTTATAAGCCTACCATAATTTTGCCATTACTGAGAGGCTTAGTTTAGGAGCTTGGGATACTAGAGTTTGGGAGCTTGGGAGCTATAGGTATCTCTGGTGGTTTGGGAGCGGATGCGCAGCGAATTCGTTGCATTCACGCGGCGGATGCGTAGCGAATTTATCGTCACTGACAGGCGGCTGTACCGGCTATATTTGCACAAAAACTTTGCGAATCCTTCGCGCGTCCTCGACGAACTCGCTGCGCATCCGCAACGCTCCCGAACCACTAGTGTGATACAAGGCTTTAAGAATTTACCGAGAGGAAAACTATTCAGAATCATAAATTTTCTGCCAGATAATCTAGAAATTACCTACGGTATAATTCAGAGGTACGTAAAAAAGTAGGTAGTTGGTACTTTACAAAATTGGATACCAGCTCTTTATTGTGGAATCTTTCTTTTCGTATAGGACACCGAGTCGTCTAACTACCTAATAAACCCTGGTGTCAGAGGTTTTTAACCGCTGTTTCACATTTCGTTTACCACACGATAAGAGAAAATAAGAATCATTGGGTCAACCTACCTGATTATTGTCAGTACCGACTAATTGTACCCTCTACACCGACATAATCTTTGCCACAAAAAAGTCCAAAGAAGTAGTTTTCGCGGCTCGCCGGGAAAGCTGTGGAGTTAAAAACAGA